CTTGAACTTGCATTCCTCCTGCCTTAGCTCCCTAAAGTGCTGGGATTACAGGCATGTACCACCAGATTCAGCTTTATCATTTTATTGGGAGCACATTTAGTAGTGCTGTGAACATTTTAGGGACATAGGTAAGTGATCATACAGAAACTAAATATTTTGGAGGTAGCCATTATATACTGACAAAATAATCACAGATTTAAAAAATTACTTGAAAAAGAGCCTCTCCTGGTCTAAATATACTTCTATAACAATTTTGTCTTCAAGTGTGACTTCTTAAATTCATTACATTCATTTTCTGTAGCTATATACAGGTAAAGTTGAAAAATATTTAAATATCCAGCTCTTTTTATTTTGAGACGATATCTCATTTATAAGGTGCCCCTGCTGGCTGGCCTAGAATTTGTGATCTTCTTTTCTCAGCTGCACTGTAAAGCTGGTATGTCCAAGAATGGTTGTACCAGAAAGCATGCCAATTAGGGTAAGACTACATACTGCAAGCTGGCTGTGTTGGTACATGCCTGTAATCCCAGCATTCTAGGAGACTAAGGCAAAAAGATTGCAAGTTAGAGCCTTACTTGAGCAACTTAGTGAATTAGCAAGGTCTCGTCTGAAAATTTTTAGATATTTTAAGAAGGGCTGCTGGAGATGCAGCTCAGTATGAAGAACAGAAAACAAAGCAAAAAAAAAAACAAAAAAACTCCCACAAAGCTATTGGTTGGTTAGACTCTTCTTTGGGGTGGGGTACTGAGGATCAAACTCCAGACCTTGCTCTTGCAAGCCAGGCGGCAGCACCACTGAGCTAAATCCCTAGCCCTGGACTGACTGACTAATAAAACACTGCTGTTCTTATGTAGGATTTTTGAGAAACATGAAGTTCAGTGAGTGATGATACAGGCATGTTACTTGGTGAAACAGTTATTTCTGGGTTCTTATTGGGATATATGTTTAGTCTAAAAACCCATTGACTGTGTCTCAGAAATAGGGGGCTGTTACTGATATGTTTTGCTTACAAATACATGGTTATTGAGGCAGTATGTTGTTTTGGGCTTGGTTAAGCCTGTCACAGTCTCTTTCTCTCATATGCTGGTGATCATACCCAAGGTTTTGTGAATGCTAGCAAGTTGTTAAATGATTTAAAATTGGTTCTTTGGCTTCTGTAGCTATAAAACTATCAGGTATTGATTAAGCAGTTAAAGAGTGGATTTGGTGACTTTCTTACTGTGGCTAAACAGAACAGTCAATGTTTTGCTACTAATGTGAACGCTTTAATACTTGGAAGGAGTTGAGGTTGTAGCTTAAGTAATAGAGATGATTCATAAGGCCCTGAATTCAAGCTTTAGCGCCAAAACAGAACAAAACATCTGTAAAGATCAAAGATAGACCAGGTCTTCACTGCCTCCTAGTTGTTGATTTTTCTTAAAAACAAAGTTTGATGTTCTCCTTAAATTTGAGGAGGTCTGATATCCCCCCCCTTTATCCCCTCCCTCTCTCTCCTCTCCTCCACCCCCCCTTTTTGAGGGGATTGAACTCTCAGGACCTTGTGCTTGTGAGTGAGGCAGGTGCAGTGCCACTGAGCTAAATCCCCAACCATGAGGTCTGGTTTTCAATTCATGTATCCATCACCATTTTCATCCAAAATGAGAATTATTTTTCCTAGCATTAATTGAATCCTTACTCTTAATTATTTGAAATTCCACTTTTATTTTCTGCATAAACATGTTCAGTTCTGGTGTGTACTACTGATCTGCCTGTGTGTCATTTCCTTTTTTCTTTTCTATTTCCTTTTTTATTTCACAGTTTTATAGGGTACTTTCTCCAGTGGGATATATCTTCTCCCTTATTGTTTTCTCAATCAAAATGTTACTACATATATGGGGTGTGGTGGCACACACCTGTAATCCCAGCACTTGGGAGGCTGAGTCAGGAGGATTGTACTGAATTGGAGGTCAGCCTGGGGTACATAGTGAGACCCTGTCTCCAAAAATAATAAATAAATAAATAT